TTTTTTTTTTTTGTTGTTGTTGTTGTTGTTGTTGTTTCTTGTTTGGTGTTGAGGTTCTAGGCCGCTATTAAGTGAGTCCTCTCAGTTTTATTTTCGGGTTTGGCATGTATATTACTTTGCTCGTTCTGAGTTTTAATAATTTCTCTATCGTTTCGTGTAAAAAAAAATAGATTGTATTAATATATAAATATATATATGTATTACCATTCTTTCCTAATGATGTATTAGTTTGTTTTTTAATAAATTATAAAAGATAAATATAGCTAATATACAATTCTTCAACAATTTCTAATGTTTTGTTGCAAATGACAAGTTTATGCTTGAGTTTAATATTGCAAAATACAGTTTTAGTTACATATAATGATTATTTAATCGGACAACATAACAAAAAATGTACAAAATAATATTTTAGTTAATCCATGATACATGAGATGCAATAAAATTGTACGATATTTTTTAAACAGTATTAGGCCATAAAATAAGTGGGAGCAAATTTTAATTTTCACAAACTTTAATGCCAAATTTTGTTTTATCATGCTTTAAATTGACATACTTATTATTAAAATATTAATGATATGAATATATAGATTTTATATTTATGGGTTGTCAAAATCAAATTAATAAATAAAAATATTAAGTATTCTTTCTAAAAACTAGACAATACTTGAAAAAATTAATCTATATTGAGATTTTTTAATTCGTATTATTTCATAGCGTTTGTAAGGTTACATAAACATTATCACATTATACTAATTTTCAACAGATGTAGACGGATTGGTACTGTTGTAAGTATACTCACATTTTTTTTTTGTAGTTTATGTGGTTTGTGAATATCAAAAGAATGACTTAAGGAGAATGAAGAAAACAAATAAAAATCAAAGTCAAGGCACGTAATAATTACGTTCTTCTTAAGACGAAATTGCCCCGTAAAATACCTACGGTTAATGGCAAACGCCTCCAAGATACAACGACTTTCAACTTGTATATAGCAGTACTTCAAATATACAATCCTTCGGCGAACACTACTATTGTTTGGAACTCTCAAGACTCAATAAAAAAAATCAAAGAACACAATATGCTATGTGATCTTTGAAAAATAATGCAAGATCTCTAATTTTGATATTTTGTATGATTTCATGTATGTGGGTATTTATAGATGTTGGAGAACACCTCTAAGAGGTTTAAGTGTCAAAAGACACCTTTTGGAATGTGTCCAAACGAGAACAGATGCATCTAGTGGCCTAAAGATACCTTATGGTCACCAAGGGTTGCGACCCTTTGATTTCCGTAGCCAGTTGCGCGCCCGTGCGCTGCGGGCTCGTACGAGCTCATACGGACTCGGAATCAAGTTCAGTTTTTTTCTACTTGTACTCAATGAGCCCTTCTACAATTCTAGCATACATAATGCATAATTATGGCTCACTTAATTTGTCCAAACATTTAACAAAACATAATGTTTTACGAAGTCCAAACATTTAACAAAACATAATGTTTTACGAATCCAATAATTTGAGTTACTTAAACTCATTGCTTCAACTTTACATTTCCCACATATACAACTTAGAATTAATTTCTCATTCAACCTTCAAATGGTTTTGAGAATTTCCTAAGTCTTCTACTTACAAAAAATGGAACCGAAAAATCGGTACAAAACAAATTTTTCTTACAATCCCCCACATGAATGAAATTAATGCATGTATGCAATACTTGAGAGTCCCGACGAACCGTCATTGCATCAGGGTAGATAGCTTGTGGCGTTGAATCTTCCCTAGTGAAATACTATCGGATACACTAGCCAGTTAGTAGCGTGATGCTTTGAACTTACTGGATGTTTGTGTGCACCAAGACAATAGTACTCACACAACAACAGCTCTAACAAATTCTTGTTCTCACGTTGTGTCCATTCGGCCTTGGACCATATCTCGGTTTAGTAAGTGTTCGTTGAAGAGGCCAATTTACTTCTCACTTACAAAGGTGATTATTCTATAAAGAGTATCTTGCCTTACTCCACCCATAGGTATAGGAATCATTAAAAGTCATCAACTTACCCTCACCACTTAGGCAGATTTTAACACTTGACGGTTCTAGAAATGAGCATAAATATTTCAAGTGTTTCACTGAACTGTCAAAACTTTGTTTTCCCATTGAACCAAGGTTTTGGGATCTCCGATTCTCATGGTTGGGTTACCGCTAAGACCGTTCGTTTGTTGTGGATTTTTATTAAGCTCATTCTTCTAACCAGTTTGTACAATTTATCTCGTTTCATGCTTTATGTAAACAGATCCGTTAGGTTAATCTTTGACTTTACATAGTCAACCGATATAACCCCCACACGGGATAATTTTCTTATGAAATTAAGTCTCCGACGTCTATGTCTAGACTTACTATTGTATAAACTACTTTGTACTCTTTCAATTTCTTATTGATAAAATAATCATCACTAGGAGCACAATTTATTCCACCTAGGATTATCTTTTAGAAAATTTCTAAGTCATTAGCTTCTTCCACACCTTTTGTCCAAATTTATAAACTTGAACTTCATTGTGGATCTAGTTTTATACTTAGATTATTTTCATGACACTACTCTACCCACCTAAAGTGAAAACTTAGTCACTTTTAGCCTTAGAGTTTTTGATGTCCAATACTTAATTCTACGTGATTAAAATTCATCGCTCGAGTTACTCGTGAACATCTTAGTTTGCTCACTAAAATGCAACATTGGGGCAAGTACTATCCGACAAGCACCTCAAGCCTCCAATTATTCCACATACTTTTTCAGAAAAACTAATTATTCTCGAATTATTAGTTAAGTGTAGAGTCAATTTGACATTCACTTTAGCTTGAGGTTTTGTCGAACTCATTGAACCTCTTCAACATAAATTTGACGTAATGATAATTGTGTCAAATAATTACTTCCGATCTCTTAGAAACTTAATCTCCAAAATTACATCGGAATTTCACAAACTTTATATGTCAAAGTTTATCTTCTTGGTA